CATGTAACTCTTTTACGAATTCTTCAGGGATTTATAACATTAGCAGAGGTAGATCAGAAAGGAAAAGCAAAGAAGTTACACATTAAGTCTAATATTCGAAAAGCCTTGTGTTTTCCCGGTGGTTCAACTCTCATGGTTTCTCATCTGGAAAAGGAATCTTCTCGTAATCCTGCAAACCTCGAGGTTTCCTCTTCATGGAAATATCACTGTGAGAAATCTCCACTCTCAGCAAGAAATAATTGTGCAGGTCCTGTGGCTGGAGATTCAGTTAAACTTGGAGAGAGCTTAGGCGAAAGCGTATATGTTGACTGTAAGTTCTTCAAGTATTTTCAATCTTAAGATACTTATTTTGTTTCCAATTGTTTTCATCAATTGGGTATAAGTAGAGTACTCTTACATTTCTGCTACAATGTGGCATACACAGGTTTCTCTGGTTTTAGAAGTCCAATGGACTCGATCACAGGAAAGGAAAAGAATAATGTGACCTCTGATCAAGCTACTACAGCTGACAGTGAGACCAAATGTTCCACACCGCGCTTGAAGAGATCTTGGGAAGCTTCACTGTCCTCTCTACAATCCAAAAGGATTAGAGCAAACCAAAATAATGACTCTGAGATAGCAAAAATGGATTTGGCTCTCAGCTCTGCAAGAGAGCAGAAGCAATCGAAAGACGGGTCTTCCTCCCAAGTGGATTTAACCAAGAATCCTCTGTCCATAAGTTGCAAAAGAATTAATGGTGAACAATGCAGAACAGCGATTGAAATATCTAACTCTCTGATCAATATGGAAACTCGTCCAGATGGACAACACTATACAATCTTGCTAATGGACATTGGTGATGAAAACAAGAGAGCTTGGTTAATAGAGGTATTTGGATAACTATAGTCTTCTTAGATGTGTTTTCTCTTTACCTTATTATCGTCTTCTGATTTCGATTGCAGGTAATAAGAAAACTCGGTGGTGATGTGACCTTGGATGGCAACTTGAGCACACATATTGTCACTGGAAAAGTCAGGAAAACGCTTAATTTCTGCACTGCTCTTTGCTCTGGGTTAGTCTCAAATTTACTGCCATTATCCTAAGTTGTGAAACTATGTGTTCATCATAAGAATAACGCGATTCCTGGTGCGTCATACTTGCTTGCAGGGCTTGGATAGTATCACCAAGTTGGTTAAAAGAGAGTTTCCGACAAGGAAGATTTGCTAGTAAGATGACACCAAAAACATCCCATAAAGTATCAATCTATCTGAATTCTAATGCTGCCACTAATTTGTTTCTTGTTTTTTTGAACCGGATTAACAGATGAAGCTTCACACATATTGCAAGACGAAGAGTACCAGTTGAAATATGAAACTGAACTGAAAAGCACAGTTCTTAGAACAAAAGCTAGACCAAACTCATTGCTCAAAGGATATGACATATGCATTGGACCTCACGTTGAGTTACCTATCGAAACTTCATCTGCAATCATCAAATCTGCTGGTGGAAATGTAAGTACTGAAATTCACGAAGTGTCTACTTTCACCACAAACAAGCTTTTCACATTTGAATCCAAAACATGTAAATTTTCAGGTGATTAAAGGATTGGATAAGGTAAAAGAGGCATCAAAATCGATATACATAGGATGCGAAGAAGACATAGTGGTGACTTTATGTGCAGCAAAGAAAGGGATTTGGACATTTAGTAGTGACTGGTTAATGAACTGTGTCATGAAACAACAACTTGAGCTTCAAGTTTCTCAATTTGTTGAGTCATTGTGATTCGAACTCGAGACCTCTCCCTCTCTATAGCCTGGAAAATCTTTTACTTTTTTTTTAAAGAATTTAAAATTTAACTCCATTATTATTTGTTTATGATTTCTTAATTTTTTTTTTTTGTATATTATTATGATATGAAAACATAATGTTACATTATCTGGTTAACTAAATTAAAAAGATAATGGAATTATGAATTTTTATACTTATAGTAGAAAATATAACAAAAAAGGCTATAATCTGCGTTACCAAAAGGACTCATTACTTCTTCAGTTTTGGTCTTTGGACTGGACTTAAATGCAATTTTCTCATTTACTCTTTGCCATGAATTAAAAAGTTATTCAGAGTACAAATTCTTAAATTAAATTGTTACCAAAATTAGCAACTCTCATTTACGTTTTTGGAAACAAATATATTTCTAGGTCCACATATATATTTTTATGTTTGCAAGTTTTTGACGTAAAATATGGTATAATACACGTTTTTCCTTCTAAAATCCAAAAAAGTAATTCCCCCTTATTTACTTAATCAGCCTAAAGTTTCAAGAAATTACAAGAATGGCCAACTAACAAAACGGCTCGTTTCCAAATTTCAAAACTCCATTTCAGTTTCAATAGTATCGTCTCCTCCACAACAAACATCACCACCACCTCTACATACAATTCCTCTGCATTCTCACATGGCGTTTCTCTATTCTTCTTCTTCAAAACCAACTCT